CTGACTGTATGCTATTTAAGTACAACCGTAGAATTAAAAAAAAGGGTTTCTCATGTTTATGTATGACTCGTTTTATTAAAACAAAAAAAAAACAATCAACGAACATCAATACATCGTTCAAACTATCGATGCTAGACACATCGATATTTCATTTCCGCAACATCGAACAATCTTAACACCGATGTTTTTATGAGCGATTGTGCAACCCTAGTTGTACTATAAAATATCGTTAATCTTATTGTACTAATGTTTTTTCGGAATAACTGCAATGAAATGAATGTGTATTTTCCGTTTTTAACTGTTGTTTGTTACTTATTTAAATTCAAAGTTGATATTAGCCGTTTCGACTAACAAAGCCTGCAGACAGGGTCAAAAGAATGAAGCACGTCCAAGGTTAAAAATGTCAGTAGAACGATTTGTTGGTTATTTATTTTACATATTAACTTACATTGATACTCACGCACATTTTACATATCTACATACAATTATAACGAAGTATTTTTTCCATTACATGCATAACAACACAGAGAAGACTCATCAATTCTGGATGCGGCATCTAATGGAGCTAATAATGCCGTACCCATTGTATTGGGTATTATAGCCAACATTGTCGCCTTTGTTGCATTTGTGGCCTTTCTAAATGCCATCGTTAACTGGTTCAGTTTTTTGGTGGGATTGGAAAACATTGATTTTGAATGGATATTTTCCAAATTATTTATTCCATTAGTTTGGGCTATGGGTGTGCCTAACAAGGACTGTGATATTGTGGCAAAAATTGTGGCTACTAAGTCTATAATCAACGAATTTGTAGCCTATGAGCGTTTGGGAGAATACATTAAAAATGGCCAACTGGAAGTAAGTGATAATGTGCTCGATAAGTCCATTACCGGTATTTCTATTTTAACAGGCTCGCAGCATTGGCATAACGACATTTGCCATTTGTGGTTTCGCGAATCCAGGCGCCTTAGGCATACTCATTGGTTCACTTAGTGCGATGGCCCCAAATAGAAGATATATTATAACATCGGTTGCAATGCGTGCTTTTGTTGTTGGCAGCATAGTGTGTTTCGTATCCGCCAGTTCTGCAGGTATGCTCCGAAAATAGTTGCGGAAATAATCTTCTAATTTGTCTCTTTTTAGGCCTTTTACTACAAGAAGAAGAGGAAAGTCGGATATATGCCAAATTTCTTAATGTGACTCAGCGAAAAAACATAACCATTGCATTTGTTTAAACCTAATAAAATGCATAAGTTTACATACATACATATACATATCTATGAATGTATGTATGTATCAACATTTGTTATTCTTCATTGTAGAGATTGGCAGTGATTTTTTTTATATCCAAAACAACATTATTTAGCTTCCCAACATGGCTTTTCTTTATAGGCTTTGAAGAATGTTTCAATTTTGATACCAAGTGTCCAATATTTTGGATAATTTCCTCAGTATCTTCATAACCAACTTCACTGCGCGAACGCTTGCGCTGCACAAAATAGGGATTTATGCATATCGTGCATTCACTGTAGTATTCTATCTGTGCATAGTATTTTGAAACAACTGTAGGAGCACAAGGATCTAGAGCTGTTCTTCTAAATATACTAACTTGAATGATGTCCGGTACTTTTATGCAATTGAGAATTGCTTGTGCACTTATGCATACTTTAGAGTCTTTTGGTTGGTTGCTGCACGCTTCTAGAAACAACCAAAAAGACAGAACGTGGAAGTTCTTTCCACTGTCAACGACGTACTTTAGTAGTTCAAGTATTTGTATTAGAGAAGCATCTGTAACATGTATTTCACGCATTAGACTCAATCCAGAATTCACCAGTCTTTCAAAAGAAAAGTTGTGTTTTGTCCAAATTTTGCAAACTTTGTCTAACAAATCCGACAGCTGTTTTTGTACATCTCTGGAAATATCTGTTTTATATCTCATCACCTCATACATATAAGCAACCTGTGGAAGGAAAACATATATTCATTAGCATTTATAACACAGGCCAACAAAATTTTAACAATGTTATGTTTACTAATATATTACAGCCGAATTGATGCAATATATCTGTCTGTGTGGGAAGATATGAAAGCTTAAACACTGCTTTAATACTCAAAATCAAAAATTCTAACCCTGCCTAAGCCTTTTTAGAGAAAAACATAAATTTTTATTTAAAAAAGGCCATTATTTCGTTTTTTCAACTTTTCTCGAAATATCTACATAAATATAAATAAATAAGCTTTAGAAAATATTGCAAATTCTATTCTGTGGGTGTGTATTGTTGGTTCCAACTTAAAAGATAGGGTAGTTTTGAACCTGGGAAAAAATATTTTTTTTTATCGAAATTTTGTCTATGCTTCTCGCAACGTGCTTAAAAATCCTGTGTCACTATGTTCGTTTACGCTAATCACCGAAACTACCCATATCCGAAACGGGAGTGTTCCAATATTATTCGCAGCTACGCTTCATACATATTTATGTTTGTGTTGGGGAGAAATAGATAGAATAGCAACAAAATAATATAGTATGTATGTAGGATCGCAGACACCAATAAAACTATTTAATGTGTTTTAGTTAACAATTTATTAATAATTTTAAAGAGCACTTAGCCTATACCGTCCGAGCATGGTAACCGTCGCGCAACTAGTGTGTAGTTGAAGTTTTGTTCTCGTCGCTGTCTAGTCCCTCGTCTTGTCATCTTACCAGTCCGTACCCCATTCACCACACGCAGGGTTGCAATCGTCCGTCAGCTTATGGTGCGTTCTCACTGTCCTACATTCGGCCAACCTGACTTATCGTTTGGCCTCAAACGATGGCTCCCACCCACTTCTTCATAAATTCACCGACCGTAGTTGTTCGCTTGGGGCCCTCGCCCTCGCCGATCTTCTGCACTTCGTAACGATCGTGAGGAAGTATTTTGAGAACCTTGTATGGTCCGAAGAATTTAGGGCGAAGTCTTAAGGCACTTCCGAATGGGGTTCGCTTAATGGCTACTAATTCGTTCACCCGGTATTTCGTCACATCCTTTCTTTTGGAATCAAAGCGTTTACGGGTTTCTTTTTGAATTTTTGCGATATTAGTTTGTGCTTCCCGTCGTGTATTTTCTCTTTCTCTGTCCAGTTCGTCGATTGTCTCATTTTCCAGGAACTCATTCAACTCCGGTGTAGTTTCTGTTCTTATTTCGACTCCAGTCAACAGTCTGAAAGGCGAAATTTTTGTGCTCCGGGTGGCATGTTGTTAAGTGCCTGTTATACTTGTTCCAAATATCTGTACCAGCTCGTTGGTGTTTCCGCACATAGCTTAGTTAGCATTGGCGTGATAATTCGGTGGATTCGCTCCACTTGGCCGTTACCCCTTGGCACCCCTGTGGCGATTAGTAGGTGCTGAATGGACTCGCTTTCACAATACGTTTTGAATGCGTTTGCAGTGAAAGCCGCACCTCTATCGCAAATTATTTCAGCTTATCGACTACTTCGTCTACTCCCGTACATCGTGTCGCATAAAGCCGCCCGAATTTTGAGAAAGCGTCGATTACTACGAAAATGTAACTATACCGCTTGCTGGTTTTCTCCATCGGCCCTACGTGGTCTACATGGAAAGTTCCGAGCGGTCGGTACTCTTTGCATATAGGTTCCAAGAAACCTTCCACTTTACCGCCCTTCGTTTCCACGATTATGCATTGAATACAGCTTCTAACAATTTTCGCTACCTTGCCCGTTATCTTTGGAATATAAAATATTTTTTCTACTTCCTCCTGTGTTTTTTTCACGCTCATTATGTGCGACTCTAATTATCTCTTCCTCCATCTGAACAGGTACCACCAAAAGTTCCTTAGCGGGATCTTTGTATAGTAAATCGTGCTTTATATAAAAATCTTCGTACCCGTCATTTTCCAATATTGTTACCATGTGAAGTCTTGCAGGAAAAGAGTCCAGCGTGATACTCGCTCTGGAACGTCTTTTTTCCGCATCGTCATAGTGAACGCGTTACAATCCGTTACAATTTTGAACGGAATACCCAGTAAGTATACGCGCCATTTCTTTAACGCTGAGACGATCTCGAGGACTTCGAGTTCGTACGAGTGGAAACGTTCTTCCACTGGCGTGGTTTTCCTGCTCATGTACTGTATAGGGTGAAACTGGCGGTCTTCGCTATCTCTTTGAAAGAGTACAGCCCCGTACCCGTACATAGATGCATCAGTATGCACCAAAGTCATCGCTTTAGGGTTGTACAAGCGTAGTACCGGCGCGCTTGCTGAGCAGCTTTTAGCTGTCGGAAAGCTATTCCCTGCTCTTCCCCGAAAACGGACTTTTCTCCCTGACGCAGAACATCTGACAACGGTTTGGTGACCACAGCATATCCTTCCCTTACGATCTGACGATGCTGGGAAACTTTCCACTGCCAGAGTTTTCGCTTTCGACGGCCTAATCGTTCCAGACTCAACTATATAGCCTAAGAAATCTACCTTCTCCATGAGAAACTGGCATTTCTTCCACTTAATACGCAAATTATAGTCTTGTGCCCTGTCTAAAACAATCTTTAATTTGGCAAGACCTTCATCTTTATCCTTGGAGGGTATAATGAGGTCGTCCATGTATGTCACTAATATACCCTTTTCTAGCAGATCTCTAAATACCGCTAGTATGTATCGCGAGAACACGGCAGGCGAGTTACATTTGCCGAAAGGGACGTAGAGGAACTCGTATTCACCTTGATGGGTTACGAACGAGGTATACCGCCGTGATGCTTCCTCCAGACGGGCATGGAAAAATCAATTGATCAAGTCCAGAGTTGTGAAAACGCGTGCACCAAGTCATCAATCAAGGGCATGGGAAAATGGTCTTTCATGAATTTCTCATTTAAGCGCCTGCAGTCGCAACATAATCTCTTGCTGCCGTCTTTCTTTGACACGAGAACTATTGGAGAAGCGTACTCTGATAGACTATGTTGGATTATCCCATCCCTCAACCACTCAGCCACTTGTTCCTCTACGATGCACCTAATGGCATATGGCATACGCCTTGGTCCTTGATATAATGGAACATCATCGATCAGAGAAATCCTCATTTTGACGGGAGACTCCCTAACTTTACGCCGGCGGTACTTCTGAATTGAAGTTTTTATTTTCAGCGCTTCTACTCTACTGAGGTGTAATAAGTCAACCTTGACATCATCTTCCTCCGCGGCATTTACACAAATTCCAAAATTCCTTTAGAAGCTCCAACTCAGGTAGTAGTACCTGAACTCTCCGCGATTTCCGATGCTTCTGGTTTACTTTTTTGCCTGAATTCGACATTATCTTCGGTCACAATTAAATCGATCTGCTTGAGCACGCTATTACCAATGATGGCTTCTTATACGATATCGCGTTCCCTAACCACATTAAACACTACGTCCAGTTCTACTCCATCAACCTGTAGCTTTACTTCGAAACTTCCCAACGTACGCAAGACACTATTGGCGATACCTCTTAGCTCATGTCCCTTGTTGGACAGATCAATGTCACCCAGCATCATTATTAGCACGTCGTAGCGTATCAAACACAAGTCGCACAAGTTGCACGTCAAATCCTTAAAGATAACGCAAGACGCCGACCTAATACCCTGTATTGCTTTTAACGCGTTTACTCTTGCGTTTTCTTCTTTCGGCTTGCTTTGTCTTTTTGGACACTCGAAGGCACGATGTCCTGGTTGATTACATTCGCAGCAAGTCGCCCTTTTTTTGGCAATTTCGTGCTAAATGACCACTACCCCTACACTTGAAGCAATGTCGCGACCCGCTTTGTTGAGAGTTTGAAGGATTTTTATCTTTCATTTCGCGGTTATTATGTACTGGCCTTTAACTAAGTTGATGCCCGGAACGTACCTTTTCATAAATTTCGATTTGTTCTTTTAGCTCTGAAATGGTTTTCGCTTAATAAGGGTTGCTTTTATTTGTTCTACTATCCGGAATACCTTCAACGAAGTATTCTATTAAGCTCATTTCATCTAAATCTACTGGTTTGCCAATTCCCGTTAGACTGTACAAAAATTCGCGATAACTTTCATTTGGACGTTTGTGCCGATTTCGAAGCAATCGATGCACGGCAATTGAGGCGGCTGCCGTGCCAAATTCCTGTTTCAGCGATCGCTTTAATGAGCCCCAACTCTCTATACCCCGCTGACTGTGGATACAAATCTTTTCCGCCCCTTCAGCAGTTGCTTGCCATAGATATATTTTTGTAGGTCGTCCCACTGTACGGCCATTGCATGGTCCTCGAATTTTTCGAGCCACTCTTCAATGGATGGGTGGCCAAAACCACA